GCCTTGTGCGCTCTTCCGCACCCACAGGCTCTTCTCCGGGTCGTTCACGGGGCGCTTCTCCGTTCCTTCCATCATCTCCAGCAGATCATAGTGGTCAAAGATGTTCTCCATCTTGAAGGGCCACTCAGCAAAGTTGTCACCGTTGAACCTGTCAAGGCCAAACACTCTAGGCTCATCCCTAGAGGGGCCAAGGCTAGGTTGCACGGGAGCAATGGGTGGATCTTGGTGTTGGCCTTGTACTTGGGCGTGTTCTTTGCCTCCAGCACCTCTGCCAACTGCTTCCCCAGATCTAGGCATGGTCGAAATGGCTCCAAGGGGCTCTGATACCACTTGTTATAAACACAATAGGCTCAGATGTGCCTAAAATGAGAGAAACTGTGCACAGTCAGAATTCCGTTAGACAGAAACAAATATTGATGCTGATCTGATCTGTGCTTTAAACGGTGATCTGTAAATTGTATCTAGAGCGCGTTGCTGTCGCCTATCAGCAGCAAGTTGAATCATAAAATTCCATGAAGATTTGACGACGCTATGGCGGTTTGACTGGCAGGAGGTACAGCAGCCACTATAGTCTTAGGAGTACAAACTTAGCAAGAAGAGTTCGAGGTAGGGATGGTTCCCAGCCTCTACATACCCCAAGAGCCGAGGTGAAAGTTGGTGGTACGCCTCCACAGAGTCCCCAACCATGAGGAGACTCGAAACAAATCCAACAAGGGGCTACACCAAGTGAAATGTAACACTACTTGAAGTAGCATTACTACTTTCACTATTTTAATATTTATCCACGTCCCTTGGGCTTGAAATCTTGAGCTCTTGGTCTTGGTTCCGCAAGATCAATTCTTCTTGAGATGATAAGGGCTTGCTGCACACACCTGCGATGAGATGGACACTTCACACTCGACAAAATAGAGAAAGCACATGCGACGCGCAAACGACGACTTGACATGCGAGTTGTGAAAACTCGCTAATGTCTTGACCGACACAAACCACATTGTGATACACCCTTCAAACACACACACAAGCACTAGATAGCAATGACATAGACTCACAAGTCATTCCATGCCATGCATGCACACACACAAACAAGGATGACAAGCCGAGTGCAAGCCATAGGGTTGCACCAACAGCGACTATAACTTAGTAGGCGACGAGTATAGGTGAGGACGAGAGGTGAGGAGGAGAGGTGAGGCGGAGAGGTGAGGGGGAGAGGGGAGGACCAGAGGTGGGGAGGAGAGGTGAGGCGGAGAGGCGAGGAGGTGAGGGGAGGATGAGAGGTGGGGAGGAGAGGTGAGGCGGAGAGGCGAGGAGGAGAGGGAGGAGGAGAGGTGAGGCGGAGAGGTGAGGCGGAGAGGCGAGGAGGAGAGGGGAGGATCAGAGGTGGGGAGGAGAGGTGAGGCGGAGAGGCGAGGAGGAGAGGGGAGGAGGAGAGGTGAGGCGGAGTGGCGAGGAGGAGAGGGGGAGGATCAGAGGTGGGGAGGAGAGGTGAGGTGGAGAGGCGAGGAGGAGAGGGGAGGAGGAGAGGTGAGGCAGAGTGGCGAGGAGGAGAGGGGAGGATCAGAGGTGGGGAGGAGAGGTGAGGCGGAGAGGAGAGGAGGAGAGGGGAGGATCAGAAATGGGGAGGAGAGGTGAGGCGGAGAGGAGAGGAAGAGAGGGGAGGAGAGGTGAGGCGGTGTGGCAAGGAGGAGAGGGATGATCAGAGGTGGGGAGGAGAGATGAGGCGGAGAGGCGAGGAGGAGAGGGGAGGATCAGAGGTGGGGAGGAGAGGTGAGGCGGAGAGGCGAGGAGGAGAGGGGAGGAGGAGAGGTGAGGCTGAGTGGGGAGGAGGAGAGGGAGGATCAGAGGTGGGGAGGAGAGGTGAGGTGGAGAGGCGAGGAGGAGAGGGGAGAATCAGAGGTGGGGAGGAGAGGTGAGGCGGAGAGGCGAGGAGAAGAGGGGAGGAGGAGAGGTGAGGTGGAGTGACGAGGAGGAGAGGTGAGGCGGAGTGGCGAGGAGGAGAGGGGAGAGAGGTGAGGCGGGGAGGCGAGGAGGAGAGGGGAGGAGGAGCGGTGAGGCGGAGTGGCGAGGAGGAGAGGGAGGATCAGAGGTGGGGAGGAGAGGTGAGGCGGAGAGGCGAGGAGAAGAGGGGAGGATCAGAGGTGGGGAGGAGAGGTGAGGCGGAGAGGCGAGGAGGAGAGGGGAGGAGGAGAGGTGAGGCGGAGTGGCGAGGAGGAGAGGGGAGGATCAGAGGTGGGGAGGAGAGGTGAGGAGGAGAGGCAAGGAGGAGAGGGGAGGATGAGAGGTGGGGAGGAGAGGCGAGGCGGAGAGGCGAGGAGGAGAGGGGAGGATCAGAGGTGGGAAGGAGAGGTGAGGCGGAGAGGCGAGGTGGAGAGGGGAGGATCAGAGGTGGGAGGAGAGGTGAGGCGGAGAGGCGAGGAGGAGAGGGGAGGATCAGAGGTGGGGAGGAGAGGTGAGGCGGAGAGGCGAGGAGGAGTGGAAGGAGGAGAGGTGAGGCGGAGTGGCGAGGAGGAGAGGGGAGGATCAGAGGTGGGGGAGAGGTGAGGAGGAGAGGCAAGGAGGAGAGGGAGGATGAGAGGTGGGGAGGAGAGGTGAGGCGGAGAGGCGAGGAGGAGAGGGGAGGAGAGGTGAGGCGGTGTGGCAAGGAGGAGAGGGGATGATCAGAGGTGGGGAGGAGAGATGAGGCGGAGAGGCGAGGAGGAGAGGGGAGGATCAGAGGTGGGGAGGAGAGGTGAGGCGGAGAGGCGAGGAGGAGAGGGGAGGATGAGAGGTGGGGAGGAGAGGTGAGGCGGAGAGGTGAGGAGGAGAGGGGAGGAGGAGCGGTGAGGCGGAGTGGCGAGGAGGAGAGGGGAGGATCAGAGGTGGGGAGGAGAGGTGAGGCGGAGAGGCGAGGAGAAGAGGGGAGGATCAGAGGTGGGGAGGAGAGGTGAGGCGGAGAGGCGAGGAGGAGAGGGGAGGAGGAGAGGTGAGGCGGAGTGGCGAGGAGGAGAGGGGAGGATCAGAGGTGGGAGGAGAGGTGAGGAGGAGAGGCAAGGAGGAGAGGGGAGGATGAGAGGTGGGGAGGAGAGGTGAGGCGGAGAGGCGAGGAGGAGAGGGGAGGATCAGAGGTGGGGAGGAGAGGTGAGGCGGAGAGGCGAGGAGGAGAGGGGAGGATCAGAGGTGGGGAGGAGAGGTGAGGCGGAGAGGCGAGGAGGAGAGGGAGGATCAGAGGTGGGGAGGAGAGGTGAGGCGGAGAGGCGAGGAGGAGAGGGGAGGATCAGAGGTGGGGAGGAGTGGTGAGGCGGAGAGGCGAGGAGGAGAGGGGAGGAGGAGACGTGAGGCGGAGTGGCGAGGAGGAGAGGGGAGGATCAGAGGTGGGGAGGAGAGGTTAGGCGGAGAGGCGAGGAGGAGAGGGGAGGATCAGAGGTGGGGAGGAGAGGTGAGGCGGAGAGGCGAGGAGGAGAGGGGAGGATAAGAGGTGGGGAGGAGAGGTGAGGCGGAGAGGCGAGGAGGAGTGGGAGGAGGAGAGGTGAGGCGGAGTGGCGAGGAGGAGAGGGGAGGATCAGAGGTGGGGAGGAGAGGTTAGGCGGAGAGGCAAGGAGGAGAGGGAGGATCAGAGGTTGGGTGGAGAGGTGAGGCGGAGAGGCGAGGAGGAGAGGGGAGGATCAGAGGTGGGGAGGAGAGGTGAGGCGGAGAGGCGAGGAGGAGTGGGGAGGAGGAGAGGTGAGGCGGAGTGGCGAGGAGGAGAGGGGAGGATCAGAGGTGGGGAGGAGAGGTGAGGCGGAGAGGCGAGGAGGAGAGGGAGGAGAGGTGAGGCGGTGTGGAGAGGAGGAGAGGGGATGATCAGAGGTGGGAGGAGAGATGAGGCGGAGAGGCGAGGAGGAGAGGGGAGGATCAGAGGTGGGGAGGAGAGGTGAGGCGGAGAGGCGAGGAGGAGAGGGGAGGAGGAGAGGTGAGGCGGAGTGGGGAGGAGGAGAGGGGAGGATCAGAGGTGGGGAGGAGAGGTGAGGCGGAGAGGCGAGGAGGAGAGGGGAGGATCAGAGTTGGGGAGGAGAGGTGAGGCGGAGAGGCGAGGAGAAGAGGGGAGGAGGAGAGGTGAGGTGGAGAGACGAGGAGGAGAGGTGATGCGGAGTGGCGAGGAGGAGAGGGGAGGATCAGAGGTGGGGAGGAGAGGTGAGGCGGGGAGGCGAGGAGGAGAGGGGAGGAGGAGAGGTGAGGCGGAGTGGCGAGGAAGAGAGGGGAGGATCAGAGGTGGGGAGGATGTTGGTGCAACCCTATGGCTTGCACTCGGCTTGTCGTCCGTGTTTGTGTGTGTGCATGCATGGCATGGAATGACTTGTGAGTCTATGTCATTGCTATCTAGTGCTTGTGTGTGTGTTTGAATGGTGTCTCACAATGTGGTTGTGTGTCGGTCAAGACATTAGTGAGTTTTTACAACTCGCATGTCAAGTCGTCGTTTGCGTGTCGCATGTGTTTTTCTATTTTGTCAAGTGTGAAGTGTCCATCGCGTCGCAGGTGTGTGCAGCAAGCCCCCATCAACTCAAGAAGAATTTATCTTGAAGAACCAAGACCAAGAGCTCAAGATTTCAAGCCCAAGGGACGCGGATAAATATTAAATAGTGAAAATAGTAACGCTACTTCGTGTAGTGTTACATTTCACTTGGTGTAGCCCCTTGGAGGGTTTGTTTTGAGACTCTTCGTGGTTGGGGACTCTGTGGTGGTGTACCACCAACCTGGACCTCGGCTCTTGGGGTATGTAGAGGCTGGGAACCATCTCCCTCTCAAATTCTTCTTCCTAAGTTTTTGTACTCCTAACACTATAGTGGCTGCTGTACCTCCTGCCAGTCAAACCGCCATAGCGTCGTCAAATCTCGATGGAATTTTATGATTCAACTTGCTGCTGATAGGCGACACCAACGCGCTCCAGATCCAATTTACAGATCACCGTTTGAGGCACACATCAGATCGGCATCAATATTTGAAGCTGGCTGACGGAATTCTGACTGTGCACATTTCTCTCATTTTAGGCACATCTGAGCCTATTGTGATTATAACAAGTGGTATCAGAGCCCCTTGGAGCTGTCTCGACCATGCCTAGACCTGAGGAAGGGGGTGGCAGAGGTGCTGGAGGCAGAGAAGACGCCCAAGCACAAGGTCAACACCAAGATCCACCCATGGCTCCCGTGCAACCTAGCCTTGGCCCCTCTAGGGATGAGCCTAGAGTGTTTGGCCTTGACAAGTTCAACGGTGACAACTTTGCTGAGTGGTCCTTCAAGATGGAGAACATCTTTGACCACTATGATCTGCTGGAGGTGATGGAAGGAACGGAGAAGCGCCCCGAGAACGACCCGGAGAAGAGCCCGTGGGTGCGGAAGAGCGCACAAGGCTACTTCTACTTGGGCAAGCGTTGGGGAGCAGCCAAATCCGTCACATCAAGCCTTTTCAGCGTGAACCAGCAAAGGGACCAAAGGCATGGGCTGCTCTCAAGGGTGTACACGCTCCTGCAACAGCGGCGGTGGCTGTGGTTTTGGAGCGGCAAATGGCGGCCTTCGAATTGACGAAGGCGAACCGGTGGAGGACGGAGTGCAGAAATTCTTCGACTTGTTGACACGGCTTGAAGGAGCTGACCTGAACTACAGTGACCTTCAAAAGAAGACCAAGCTGCTGGCCTTGCTTCCGACTCATGGTCCTCGCTCATCATCAACCTAAATCGAGATCTGCCCCGCCTCTCGCTCGAAGATGTGAAGCGGGAAATCTTACAAGAAGATTTCCGTCGTCGTGAATTGGCGGGTACCGATGGTGCCGGAGTTGCAAGCATGGGCCGTGGGCACGGCCGTGGAAGGGGCAGAGGGCGAGGAGGAAGATTTGGCAGCAGCAACTTCAATGGAGGCCGTGGTAATGGAGGATATGGCAGCAACAACAACAACAATGGCTACGGGCGTGGGCGCGGTCGATTTGATGGCGAATGCCACTTTTGCCACAAGACCGGCCACATGTGGAGAGATTGCTACAGATTGCCTGATGGATGGACCCTTCTCAAGGCCAAGAGGCAGAGGAGCAAGGGGAGGAAGAGGCAGAGGTCGTGGAGGCCGTGGTGGTCGTGGAAGCGAAGCGGCATGCATGAAAGGTGGAGACTACGAGACGGGCCGAGTGAAGATCGATACCCAGGCCAATTCTTCTTTGTCTCCACGCAAGCGGCAGCTGCAGCAGGAGGTGTGGAAGGCTTTGAGGAGCCAGCTACTGTGGGAAAGGTCACCCTTCACTCTCTGGACTTTTGGGTGATCGATAGCGGCGCCACCTATAGCATGACACCTCGTGCGGACTTGCTCACCGAACTCGAACCGTCGCCGGTCAAGCATGTCACATCGGCTTTGGGGCAGCGAGCAGAGGTGAAAGGCATGGGCAAGGCCATGTTCAAGGGTGCTGATGGGAAGATGGTGGGCCTCAAGAACGTGCTTTGGGTGCCCAACCTTGCAGCCAACCTGATTTCTGTGCGGCATTTGCAAAAGGCCGGCATGGACACATCTTCCAAGGGATCCAAAACTATACCGCGCGGCTTGGTGAGCGGAAAGCTTTGGGACCTTCATGAGGACAGGGACATCTACAATGAAATGTGGCAAATCCCAGTGGTCCCATGCCTAAGAGAGGCAAGTGGCAGCAAGCATCAGCACCAAGAGTGAAGCGGTTGGTGGCGGTGATCACGGAAGCAAAGTGACACCAAGAGTGACTCGAACGAGTGCAATCTTGGAGAGACCAGCAAGGCATGTGAACCAAGGAGAGTGGTGCAGCAGCCAAAGGTGGTGGAAATGAGGAGGAGAATCATAAGATCAGCAAAGCAGCAGCGGCGAAGGAGAAAGGAGAGAGCTTGTGGGGCACAATTGCGAGTGCCGCTTTCTCCAACCCGACTTCCGCTACGGGAGAGTGTGATTGGCTGACCTTGCATCGGCGAATGGGGCATGTGGCATTGCCCATTTTGCAGCAGATAGTCAAGCAAGAGATGGTCAGTGGGATACGTGTCAAGGGGGAGCCCAATGAGGTGCTTGGCTGTCCAACATGCATGCAAGCCAAGTTCACCCGTACCCGTTCCATAGCTCGGAGACAACGCGAAGGCACCACTTGATGAGGTGGTGATGGATGTGGTGGGCCCTTGAAGCTTGGAGCTGCTGGAGCAGAGTACTTCCTCACCATTGTGGACGTCTACACTCGCATGACTTGGTGTATGTGCTGCCCAAGAAAGTGACGTAGCTGAAACGGTGAAGACCGATTGGTTGCCGATGGTGGAGCGGCAACAAGACCGCTTGTGAAGGCGATTCGCACTGACCGTGGGGGAGAGTTCCTGAGCAAGGACTTCTCAACTTGGCTGAAGAAGCAGGGCATAAGCACTCTCTTACCATGCCCTACTCTCTGCAATGAACGGCATCGCCGAGCGTGCGAATCGGACACTCACGGAGACGGCTCGGGGACTTCTCATTGAAGCCGGTCTTCCCAATTACTTTTGGCCGGATGCGGTGCGGCATGCTTGTGTGGCCAAGAACAGAGCCTTGACTCATGTGGGAGAAGACAAATGGGTGCCCTATGTGGAGTGGATTGGAAGGAAGCCGAAGGTGGATATGCTTCGGGTGTTCGGGTGCATGTGCATGGCACTTGTGCCTAAGAAACTTCGGCACAACAAGCTTGATGCCAAGGCAACATGGGCCGTGCACCTGGGCATGGCTCAAAACAGCAAGGGATGGCTTCTTTGGGACCCATTTACCAAGAAGTTGGTGAGCAGAGATTGCAAGTTCATGGAGAACTTACCGTACAAGGAGTGGAAGGCGGAGAACCAAGCGAAGATTGGTGTGCGGCTTGGAGAGGTGAAGAGTACCGGCTTGGAGCATGTGGAGCTGCCCTTGGAGCTGAGTAGCAGCAGCACAATCACAAGGCAATCTCCTCAAATGAATGGGGGAGAAGAGGAGGAGGAGGTGCAGCAAGGTGATGAGCGTGCACGTCACTTCCGCCTCGTGCTACAAGTGCTCGCGTGAACCGACCAGATTTGCCGCAACGCCATGAGAGCATCCAAGTCCCTGCAGTAGAGGAGGAAGGAAGGGGGAGAAGGAGGACTCAGCCCCCCAATAGGTTGAGCTATGACGGCTTGGAGGACCAGCCAACTCAACCTTGACCGGTTCGGCTCTCATGCTAGGCGATGATGCGGAAGATGAAAGCGAGGAGTGCGCTTTTGCCTTCTTCTCTCCGGTGGAGATACCGGGGAGCCTACAAATCCAAGGAGGCTTGGGAGGGCCCCAATGGGAAGGAGTGGAAGAAGGCCTCAGATGAAGAAATGGGGAGCATCATCGAGAACGACACTTTGACTTGGTGAACCTACCTCCGGGGCGTAAGGCGATTCTTCCAAGTGGCTCTTCAAGCGCAAGACCGACGCCGACGGCAACATTGAGCGCTACAAGAGCAGACTTGTAGCCAAGGGGTACCAGCAGCAGGAGAAGAAGGACTACAATGAAGTATATGCCCTGTGGTGAAGGGTACAACCCTTCGAACTCTCTTCGCCGCGGCGGCCATCAAAGGATGGGTGGTGAAGCAATGGAATCGTAACGGCCTTCCTCAACGGAGTTTTGGAGGAAGAGACCTACATGGAGCAGCCAGAGGGTACAATGATGGGAGTGACAGAGTGTGGAATCTGAAGAAAGCACTCTATGGCCTCAAGCAAGCCCCTAGGCAATGGTACATCAAGCTGCGGGAAGTTTGGAGGCGATCGGCTTCACTCCCTCAACGGCCGATCAATCCTTGTTCATGCTTGGCGAGGGGGAGCAGAGGAGCTTCATGGTGGTTTATGTGGATGAATCCTCATATTCTCACCCTCCTCTGACCTTGTGAAGGAGGTGATGCTGAAGCTTCAAGACAAGTTCAAGTGCAAGACCCTGGGTGACGTCAACTACTACCTTGGGCTTCACATTGAGCGAGATGTGGAGAAGCGGTGGATGCGAGTGCATCAAAAGAAGTACTTGGAGGCCTTGGCTGCAAACTTTGGAAAGAGTGAAGGTCTTGTGGCTACTCCTCTTCCCTCAGGGACAAGTGTGTGAAAGGACCAGCGGAGGAAAGTGTTGGTGAAGAGGAGAGGCGCCGTTTCATTCCTTGGTGGGCAGCCTCATGTATGCGGCCGTTCACACAAGGCTGGATGCAGCCTTTGCTACCGGGCAGCTGGCTAGGGTTGTCCAATGCCCTAATGAAGAGCAAGTAGCAGCTGGAGAGAGGGTGGCCAAGTACCTTGGCCAAACAGCAACTGTTGGACTGCAATACTCCGCGGTGGCACAAAGGCGTCAAAAGGGTACGGATGGAGTCGAACCCGGGAGGCTCTTTCTCACCGCTTTCTCTGATGCATCTTGGGCATCAGAACCAGAGGACATGACAAGTGTGGGAGGCTTCATCTGCTGTGTTGGTGGAGGCCAACAACTTGGGAGAGCAAGAAGCAAGTGGACCAAGCATTGAGCTCGGTGGAGTCCGAGTACATGGCACTCTTCCGTGCCATAAGGGAGGTTGTGTGGTAGCGGCGTTTGCTAGCTGAATTGGGGGAGGAGCAGCAAGGACCTACCCCACTCTATTGTGATAGCCAGGGTGCTATTGCATTGGCTAAGAACCCGTTCTTCATGGCCTTACCAAGCACATGAAGGTGAAGTGGCATTGGGTGAGGAGCATGGTAACTTCGGGTGAAGTGGAGTTGCACTACGTGAAGACGACGGCACAGCCTGCTGATATGATGACCAAGAGGCTGGTTGAGCAGCAGCATTGGAAGTGTTGCAAGCTTGCTGGGATGGCTCTGAACTAAGGGGGGCAGATTCTAAGGCCAACAATCCGAGGGGGAGTTTGTTGGTGCAACCCTATGGCTTGCACTCGGCTTGTCGTCCTTGTTTGTGTGTGTGCATGCATGGCATGGAATGACTTGTGAGTCTATGTCATTGCTATCTAGTGCTTGTGTGTGTGTTTGAATGGTGTATCACAATGTGGTTTGTGTCGGTCAAGACATTAGCGAGTTTTCACAACTCGCATGTCAAGTCGTCGTGTGCGTGTCGCATGTGTTTTTCTATTTTGTCGAGTGTGAAGTGTCCATCACGTCACAGGTGTGTGCAGCAAGCCCCCATTAACTCAAGAAGAATTTATCTTGCAGAACCAAGACCAAGAGCTCAAGATTTCAAGTCCAAGGGACACGGATAAATATTAAATAGTGAAAATAGTAACGCTACTTCGTGTAGTGTTACATTTCACTTGGTGTAGCCCCTTGGAGGGTTTGTTTCGAGAATCTTCATGGTTGGGGACTCTGTGGTGGTGTACCACCAACCTAGACCTCGGCTCTTGGGGTATGTAGAGGCTGGGAATCATCTCCATCTCGAACTCTTCTTGCTAAGTTTGTACTTCCAAGACTTTAGTGGCTGCTGTACCTTCTGCCAGTCAAACCGCCATAGCGTCGTCAAATCTTCATGGAATTTTATGATTCAACTTGCTGCTGATAGGCGACAGCAATGCGCTCTAGATCCAATTTACAGATCACCGTTTGAGGCACAGATCAGTTCGGCATCAATATTTGAAGCTGTCTGACGGAATTCTGACTGTGCACAATTTCTCTCATTTTAGGCACATCTGAGCCTATTGTGATTATAACAATTGACTCAGCTTGGCGTATCAACGCCACATGCCTAGAGGCTAGAATGTGCAAAGCACACGGTGGGGTGTTGCAGGGATGCTGATACAGGAGGGAAGGAAACGATTGGCTAATGGGGGAGGAGAGGATTGCATTCAGGCATTAAAGCAATGGTGTGTCACTGCATAGAGCCAGTGGGATTTACCCAAGAGGTCCTGAAAAGGCTACATGTGCTGTGCTGGGGGGTTGTGGGTGCGTTGAACAACCAGTTCAACAAGCCGTTATAGCCGTGTCACTTAGCGGGCTGGAGGTGTAACTTGCTGCACTAGTCGTTGATTGCAGGCGTTGGGGCAGGCTGAAATCGAGTGTGTAAGAGAGAGAACTGAGAGGTGCATGGGAGAAGCCAAGGGGGCCAAGAGAGAAAAGAAAGTATTGACAGGTAAATGAGAGAAGAGAGATTGCCCAGGGAAGTAGGGAGGGAGCTCGAGAATGAGCTTCCAAACAAATCACTGCAGGCGGCACAAGCAAAAATGGGGGAGAGGCAATAGAAACACGGGGAATGGATGGAAATAGGGCGAAGCACAAGGGAAGCTCAACGGGGGTTGAAATATCCAAATGAGAGGGTCATAGAAAGGTGGGGGGAGGGATTGGGGGATTGTGGTGAGTGCCTTAGAGCAGAAGGTGTCTCTGTGAGGTTCACACGGCTTGGCGGGAAGAGCAGCTAAATGGACTGAAAGGTGAGTCAGCCTGAGGTCAGGTTGGAAGAAAGGGCTATCGTGGAAGTGAGAGGTTCTTTTGAGTCGACTCAAAAACAGAAAGGGCTGCTGCTGTTGTGGAAGGTAGAGGTGCACGAGAGAAGAGAGAGGGGCATGGGAGAGTTGACAGGTGCAGGAGAGAAGAGAGGCTGCCCAGGGAAGTCTGAATGGAGCCATGGAGACAGTTGTAGACATGGGCAAATTAAATCGCACCGCATCGCATCACATCGAATTTTTGCGATTGCAAAATATATATATAATTATATATCATCGCACGATGGGATGAATTATTTACCGCGCGATATGATTTAAATCACATTCAAATCGTGCTGGAAAACACGATTTAAGTGCGATATGTGATCTTCTTTAAATCACATGCAACGCCGAAATACATCGTGCCACGAAATCTCACCAGCAAGGGGGGAAAAAATGCTAAGCCCAAAAACGCATTTCAGAAATTCTCTTTTGGAGATTTTCCTTGGCATTTCGTTTTGGGCCTAGCACACACATCCTACAGCCTCCCAAACACACCATTCTTTACGATTAACGGTGAACAAAAACCCATTACGGAGTAGATTTGGGTGCGTCGCATTAGCTTTTAGGCGCGCACAACGTTTCGCGCAAGGATTTCGGGTGGCGAAAGGGTTTCTGCTGTGCGCAAGTTTTAATTCCGCTACGATGCACGAGCATTGCTCCGTTTCCAATTGTGGATCAGATTTAGGCGCCTCTGTAGGGTTTAAGGCGTGTCGCACCACAAGGAGGCGACATAAGGGTTTAGGGTTTTAGGAGAGGAGTCGCTCTAGGGTTTAGCAATGGGGAAGCGTGGAGGAGGACAAGGGCGGGGGATCGGGAAGAGTGGTGGTGGCACAGGTCATGGCGGAGAGGTCGAACCGGAGGCACGAGCTAGAGCGCACGCATTGACAGGCAAGGAAGCGCGTGCGCAGCGGAGGATGATGGGGGAGGCGGCATTCGCCAAGCTGCAGGGGATTAGGGCAGGCACCTCGCATGTGGTGGAAGGAGGAGGGGAGATGGGAGTCCCCGGCGACGGCGGGCCTGGGATGCAGGGGAGTGGCGCGGCCGGCACTAAGGGCGTATCACTAAAGTACGTCCGATTGCGGTTCGCAGAGATGTTTGCGCTCTGAAACGGTCTAATTCTAGAGCGGTTTAGTATGGTATTTTGCCAAAACGATTTTTGGTGACACACCCTAAGGCGCCCGCCCTTGCGGGCAAGGTGTCCATTAGGGACGAGGTAGAGGACAGGAACGCTTGGCCGATCCGAGCAGCGGCGGAGGGAGTGCGAGATGAGTGTGACAAGGGGAATGAGGATGAGGAGGAGGAGGAGGGGGATGAGGACAGCGATGGGGAGGGGGAAGAGGATGGACAAGGGGGGGGGGTGGCAATGTGGAAGGGGATGCGGAGGAGAGGGGGGGCGTTGGCGGAGAGGGGAGGGGAAGCGTAAGGTGGATGGCGGCCTTCTCCCCCGGTCGGTTCCTCCGGGAAGAAGACACGCACACCTGCGGAGGGGGATGGCAGGGGGAAGGGGGTGCCTAGGGGCCGTCCCCTGGGCCGGCCAAGGGGGTGGGGCAGGGGGCAGAAGGGTCCAGTGTGCGAGGACGTCGGCCGGCCTGGCATGTCACCCGACTACCTCCACGAGGCGGGGGGGAGTGGGCGGGGTGTGGCGCGGACTCCCATGAATGCCGGTAAGGGGAGGGGGGGGGGGGGGCATGGGGGAGGGTCACGGGGCGCCTGACCAAGGTCTTGTAGGCGCCTTCATGGAGGTGGAAAAGGATCCACCACGGTGTGTGGCTTGTTATGACAAGTGGCGGAGGGTTGGAGGAGATGCAGGAAGTGCAATGACTATGTGAGCTTCGCGGGCCACACCATGTCGAACGGGTGGGCCAACATGGTTGGATACCACATGGCGCACTAGGACATTTTGACTAGGTTGAGGTGGGAAGGGGAAATGAAGGTCGGGGACCAGCTGCCAAAGGGGGGGTTTGGGGACGACGAGGCCACTGACGGTGGCAGTGCCTGGTGGGTGCAAGGTTTTAAAAATATGGCGTTTGTTCGTTTAATTGTTTTTCCCCTCAAATTCAGGCCGTTTGCTACGGTACCATATTTGTTGGTTGTTTAATTCAATGTAAAACGATTTCAAATGGTTCCTTTTTTTTGGTGGAAAAAAGCGGTCGTGTTTTTCGACCATTTTTTTTATACATATAAATGTTTCATAGACTATACAATTCGTTACACATTTTGACAGTTCGGTGCTCATCCAACCATTGAATTGTATTCAGTCAACATTGCCCAAGGTGCAACATCAGGAAATTGCCGAGCCGCACATTTCAAAGGGTTCATCAAAACCGTTGCGAAACTGACGGTTTCGCAAAGGGTTGGCGTTTGTTTTTGTTGTGTGATGTCATCATATGCTATCACATTCTGTCTGCCTCCCATTCCATGTTTTCAACCCACGTGTATGGTTTGACTGTGTGTGAAAGAATTTGTGTGGTGTGTGTTCTGGAGTTTGGGAATGTGTTCTGTGTTATTTTTGTTTAAGCAGGTATTTTGTGATGATAGATCTTGAGAAGATCTTTCCGACGCAACAAGAATCGCTTCAATCGGAGCAACAACGCGAAAGCTATGAAGTTTCAAAGTTCACGAGCTTGCGTTACAGTTGCGGCGGTTACAAAGTGAAGTTGTGGGGTGACTCTATATGGAGTTGGGACCTTTGGGGTTGGGAAAATTCGTCACTCTACTGTAACAGCTGCAAATTGGTTGGGAACAACCAAGTTAGGTTGGCAAGGGTGGCCAACTTGGATGGATTGGTTGGGAAGGGACAAATGTCAAAGTTGGGGTTCCTATAGGGAGGGAATCTTTGTGCTTTAGGGTTTCCTTGGTTGGGGACTCTCTTGGGACCTTCCCTCTCATCCCTCTCTTCTATCCCAACCTTTCTCTTGCTCCTCTAATTCCTTGTGAGATTCTTGAACTTTGATTGAACTTTTGAGATTGAGTTAAGTTCTCCTCCTACCGCTTACCCCCTAGTGCTTCGAAAGCCATAGCGTCGCGAATACTTCATCAATCAACGTGATTCAAATTAGGAACGGTAGATGACATTAAGAGCTACAACATATCCGAGTTTCGCGACATTCCAACGGCTAGTTTTGCGTCGACGTCGTTTCTTGTGAAGACGACTTTTCTGTCCAGAATTTTCGGATTTATATTTTGAGGAATTGTAGCTCCTAAACACACCTAGACTCCGTCCTTAATCCTAACAAGTGGTATCAGAGCTAGATTGAGGACATTGAGAGGAGACTACAGAAGTGTGAAGACCCTTCTAGACCCACCATGGCCTGTGGGTGTGTCTAAGTGGTGTTCTAAAGGTTGGATGTGTCTTCCGCTAAGGGGAAACTCTGCCGAAATTTCGTGGACGCCGACACTTGTGAAAATATCGAGGGAGCTGAGTGTGGACAGCAAAGGGGAGCTGAAATTCGTCATTTCTCAAGGAGAAGATGAATGAGAGGGGAGGAGATGCTAATGGAAGAGGAGCTGTACCTGAGAAGACAAGTGAGCCGCCGCCATCAAAAGTTGAAGCTTTGGATGGCTCCAACTATGAGGAATGGAGCGGGCGGATGAGGAGTGCCTTCAAACGCTACAAGCTACTGAAGATTGCTATTGGGGAGGAGAAGATGCCGGAAGAAGGCGAAGCACGTGAACGGTGGATTGAGAAAAACGCGGTGCTTTTCGACCTCATCCTTCAATCGGTCAACAAGGAGATGTTCGAGCACATCAAGCATCTTGTGGAAGCGGATGATTCGGGTCCAAGGGCATGGAAACTACTACGTGATGTGATTCAGCCCAACACTCTTCCGGTGGTGATCGTGCTCGAAAAGGAACTTGCTGCCATCTCCATGCGACCAGGGGACGATGTGAAGCCGGTCCTTGACAAGATCAAGGACACCTATGCAAGGATGGCAGCAGCGGGCAGCAGTGTATCTCAGCGGCAGCAGTGCACCAAAATCATCTCGGTGTTGGACAACTCTTGGGACAACCTCATCCGCACCCTCAACTCTCAGCAAGATCAATGGACATCTGAGTGGCTAAGGCAGCAGATTCTGCAGGAGGACTTCCGCAGACGCCATGTGGGAGGTGGTGCTTCCACTAAGACTGCTGAGGGGTATGGAGCTGCAGGGCGTGGCAGAGGAAGAGGGGGTTGGAGAGGCCGAGGCCATGGGAGGAGCTTTGGCAGAGGTAGAGGCCGAGGTGACTATAATGAGGGGCATGGGAGCTCCAGTGGCAGGGGGAGTACCAGAATGGAGGGCACCTGCTGGTACTGTAAGAAGGTCGGGCATCCTTGGTTCAAGTGCTTCAACAGGCCGGAGGGATGGGCACCTCCAGGCATGAAGCCGCCAAGTGGTGAACGTGCACAAGGTGGCGCTGTGCAAGGCTCAGGTGCACAAGGTGAAGGTGCACAGGGTAATACCTATCCTGGGATGTTTCTCATGGTTGAGGATGTGCATGGGCATGAGGGTGATGTGGGATCTGTGGGAAAGGTTGTGATGCACCCTCTCACACACTGGGTGATTGATTCAGGTTGCACCAGTCACATGACCCCACGGGCAGATTTGCTTGATGAGGTAAAATCCCCTGGGAAGATTAAGTATGTGGCAGCAGCGTCAGGTGCTTTGCTCCCTGTGATTGGTGTTGGAAATGCCAAGGTTAAGGGAGCTAATGGGGAGCTTGTGGGGCTTGGGAATGTTCTGCTGGTTGAAGGTTTGTCTGCTAACCTTCTCTCTGTGCGGCGACTGCAGAAGAGCATTGTCTGTCTGTTCAACTGGAATTACATCCCAAGTGCTCTCGTCAAGAACACTCATCCCCTCTCCAAATTGCTCCCATCTACCTCGCCACCCAACAGTTTTGCCGCCTCATGGTGAGGCCAACCCCCGGCTCGCACAGCCGGGGGTCATTCCCTCGCGGCACAAGCTGGCCGGTCTCATCATGCGGCAGACGGCGCAATGCAAGGTGTTGGTGAAGGCAGAGATGGCAGCTGACAAGGGGGTGAGCGTGATCTCGTACACGACGGGCATCTGGTTGTCGGAGAATGACATCAGTTTCATGGGCATCAAGACGCTTTACATTGACGCCCAGTGGACGCTGAGGCAGGCGACGTTGGACTTCAGGCCTCTCTCCGCTGGGCACACAGCGAGGCCTCACAGTCATCCTCGAGGAGGTGATTGAGGATTGAGGGCTTGCCGGGCGGTGTATGGCGCTCACCACCGTCAAATGGTGGCATTCGGTCTGCTCAAGGCAGGCGACCAGGGAGGCGGGGCGAGGCGAACAACCCCTCAGTTCGGCGAGGCCGCCCACGTCCGGTAGGTCATCGTGCCATTACCAGCAGGGCTTGAATGTTCACCATCTCTCGTGTCATTGCTCTCTCCATACTTCAATGTGGGGTGTAATGGTCTAACCTGTCATTGGGCTTGGTGCAAGTGCCTCGCCCACGTCAGCAAAATCGCTGTGCACGAGGCTGTGGGAGGGGTGCCGAAGGTGGATGCACCACTGAAGAAGCTGCGCAACCTTTCCTCGCGCATAGGCTTCTTGGTAAACAAGATGACCGCCTTTGCGAAGGAGGAGCGTCACCAGTTCCCTGGGAAGCAAGTCCTGAAGTTGAAGCACGACCACCCCGGTGCACTGGGGCTCCACCCACGCCATGCTGAGGCGGGCAATCGAGCTCAAGGGACTGATCAAGGCCTTTGTGGCTAGGGACGTATGCTACATGCGCCCTTCTGCCTTGCCTTACTAGTAAATCCACCAACACACACCTCCATTCCACACTCCTGGCCGCCACCCTTCATGTCCCCCTCGAACAACCCTCCTCCTTTCCCCTCCCCCTCCCCCCCCTGACACCCGACTCCAGGGGTGTAACAATAGGGAGCAGGCCGAATTGGACAAGGCAGTCACTGACGCTGAGTGGGCGCTCCTTGGGGAGTTGATGGCGTTCATGGCGCCATTCATCAACGTGACATTGGCCGCCGAAGGGTCGGTATACCTCACAGTGGCACGTGTGGTGCTGCTGTGTTACTAGACTACCTGGAGAGGAAGCTGTCAGCGGTGAAGGAGGGGTCAGTGACGGCACATTGTGTGTCCAAGCCGCTAGACAAGATGCTCACTTATTTTTATTCCAGCAGAGATGACCTCAATGTGGCAACTTTTCTGGACTCTGCCTTGAAGAGGGTGTGGTTTGAGCGGCCGATGGTGGCAGGCACCAAGGGGGTGGTGGAGGAGCTGGATGCCGGCAAGGTGGAGGAATTGGTTCGTGAGAGGTGGGAGAAGTACAAGAAGAAGGTGGATGATGTGGCGGCAGAGAGGAGGGGGGCGTTGGTGGGAGAGGGGGGCAACAACGCGAATGGAGGGGAAGAGATGGAGTCAGAGGGGGAGGAGGATGAGGACTTGGGTGTGTTCACTCACCTCGCATCGGTGCGGGCCTCACAGATCTCATTAATGCATAATGAGATCCAGTAGTACCTGGCGCTCCCCTCTGGCGGAACTGCACGACTGCCCCTTGAAGTTCTGGAAGGTCCACACGGAGCTTCCAGCACTGCAGCTCATGGCTCGGGATTACCTCGCCATCTCGTCCACCTCCACACCTTGCGAGCGCCTATTCTCACAAGGTCGCAGCCAAATCCACTGGCAGCGCTACCGCTTGGGGCCAGAGCAAATCCATGCTTGTACAGTATGATGCTGAAGTCATGGATTGCAACCCACCCAAGGCAGCGGCTTGATGGCCCGCAGGCGGCGGCAGATGGAGAGACAGCCGACGATGCGTGGAAGCTGGGCCTTGAGATCGGTCCGGGGTTGTGAGAGCATGCTCAGGGGTTTGTGTTGGCTAGGAAATTGACTTGTAGTGACATTGTGCTACACCGATGACTATGCTGCAGCACTGTTGCTTGCTTCCTCCCAAGCCCCCCTCCCCCACCCTCCTACTCCCCACACCCCACCCTCCTACTCTCCACAACACCCCCCCCCCCCCCCCCCCCCTAGGCTCGATTTAGGGTTTTTAGGTTCGATTTCTATTATGTCCTAAACCGCGATGCGATGTAAAATCGCATCGCGCAATTTATTTAAACATCACATGCGGTTTACTTAAAGCAAGCGGACAGACCAAACTCAAGACTCACGAGTTTGGGTAGCGAAAATGACGAGCGGCCCATCCAGCCCTGCCCCACACGAAACAATCTGGCCCCTCGCAATGGGAAAACATACCTCGTCAAAACCTGTGAGGTCGCAGGGCAGATTCAGGGTGACAGCACCACTCTGCCCCAACCAGACCATGTTCGCATGACAGCTGCTATTGTACTACAAATTGACACGTACAACAAAAATGCGCAAACAACAGCAACGGCAGTCTACCAGCCGGTACAAAACCAAGGCACGAAAAAAAAACGGGAAGCCAGCGGAAACAGGCCTTGAAAATCACTGCCAACCCCACCCGCTAGGGGGCGGATGAGGCGAGGCAGGGCAGAACCATGCGGGAGAGGGGATTCAGCACTGCAAAATAGGTTGATAGAGAGAGTGAGGCGAGAGAAACAGGGAGAAATGCGCAAGGACACGGCGAGGGAGAAGGGCATAGTGCGGAAGAGCAGGAATTGCGTTTAGGGGCTGAAGCGCCACCGTAATGGAATGCTCCTAGATGACGAGGGGCAGTGGGTGATGGTGGTCTGGAATAGGGGAAGAGAGGGCGCACACGCCACTTGGAAATCATGGGTGGGGCACGAAAGCGCGAGTGAGTGCGGCTGAGACTTGGGAGAGCGGGGGATGGAAACGAACCGGGAAATGGGGGGGGGGAGCTGTGAGTAGGTTCAAAAGAGTGTTCCTGAGAATTGGGAGACCGGGGGATGGAAAAGAACTGGGAAATTTGCTAACCCTTTGCCTAGGGCTTGCCTAAGCCCCCCCCCCCCCCCCCCCCTTGCCCAACTCATTGCTGTACCCAAGCTGTTGCCATGTCGATGCACATGTCTAGGCCTATGCCTATGCTGCAGCCGTGGCAGCAATCGGTTCTGATTATGCGCCACCTCGCTGCTCCTTCTTTAGGGCACCCGCCACAAGTGACGGGGAGGGTGTCGAGGTCCATCCGCTTCCACAGCTGATCTCACCATGCACCGACGGCCTATGCTGCAGCAATGCCGGCAATCTGTTCTGATTATGTGCATCCGTCCTGTTCCTTCTTTAGGGCACCCGCCACAAGCGACGGGGAGGGCGTCGAGGTCCATCCCCATCCAGAGCAGAGCTCGCCATGCGCCGTTGGGGCTGAGCCCCATGCTTGCAAGTGCGAACAGCATCCCATGCATCATTTTGTGTACTTGTGCCCGATCTAATCTCGACCTGTAGCTTCCAGCGCGCAAGGGTGTGTTCATAAAGTTCAAGTCCAGAACGCCCCTACGTCCTCTCCCCCTGTGTAGCCCAACCATCGTACCAACCTTCCCTTGTTCCCCTAAACCTCAGGCTGCCCCATGGCCCCAGACTGGCCACCAGACGGACAGTCCCACCACTGTGGGATCCCGCACCAAGACTGGATGATTTGGATGGGTCAGCGGTGGGCTTGGTGGAGGTCCAGCACATGGGAGGAATTTTCAAGGGAGTTAGGATGGTTTGCGAACGTGGCGGTGGTCGTGGGCATCGTGGGGTTTGTATTGGGGCTGCACGGAGTGCATTCACACAGTCGAGTTCTGGACGTGTACACGTCGGGATATTGTGGACGGGGCACGAGTCAGGGGTACCAACATGCAAGTGCAGCAATCCAGGTTCTTAGGCACGTTTGCACTGGCAGGCATGGGGTACCAACAGATATGGGAATTCTGTCGGAACTTTATCTTGCCCTGCCCTGGTAAAGGCACTTTCTACAAGCACTCAGGCAAGTGTGCGTGAGGCCGATAAGTCGTTGCAGGAAGTGAGGGCGGAGATATTCAGGCGCGACGATGCAGGGGATTATGTGTGTGTGGATGGTCGATGGTCACAGGTCACGGAGGGCAAGTGGTGCACTGTTTCATTTATGGGCGAGAAATCGCAGAAGATACTTTACGTTGTAGTAACACAAAAGAATATAGATGACCCCTCGTCCGTAGTGTTGGAGCGTATCGCATTTGATAGGGGAATGGAACAGCTAGCAGCAAAGGGGTTTCGGGTGCGTGGTATTATTTCCGATCAGGGAAGTACGTTCAGGGGAGTGGCTAGAGATAGGGGGTTGAACCACCAAGTGGATTGGTGGCATGTAAAGCAGTCCCTGTGGAAGCTGTTTCTAAGGGATCCGCAAGATGGCTACGCGTAGTCGTGCCTATGGGGGAGGCGCGTGTCATTAAGGACCTGTGGGTGTCGAGCGTGGATAGTCTTAGGCAGTGGCTGAGTGCTCATGAGAAGACGAAGGAGTCAAAGGCTATACTTAAAGAAACGCTCATACGCCATGTTTGTGCAGAGTTGGGGCAGTTTGAGTATGTAGCAATTAGGTTGGAGGATGCGAAATACAAGCATCCTGAGCTCAGGAAGGTGCTACGGGTTGGTGGCGATGGCATGGGTGTAGAGGTCCCTGTCTCCTATGGCGGTATGCCGGATGGTGGCCCAGGTAGTGGGGTGAATGCAGGAGTCGGAGGTCATGATAACGAGGAGGTGGGAGCTGCGGGATTTGGTGGACCTGTCACCGTGGAGGTGCTGTGCTCCGACATGGATGAGTTTTGGGGTTATGACGGAGATTAGGCCCGCAGGATACGCCCATCATCAGAGGCATCTATGCTGATGGTTCTTGCCCATACGAGGGACGCGCGAGGCATGCATTTCACTGGAGGGGCTCGACCATGGCAAGAGCGACAAGACCTGAGTGGTGAGTTTGCGAGGGGCAGCAAGGCATGCGTGGCAGTACGTGATGTATCCCACACTGTCATTGCCAAAGACATATACAAACAGACATCCCCTTTTGTGCATTTGCCACCCTCCTCTCGTCATGACACAGGGGAGGTGCAAGTTGCTGCCGACATTGTGGGCGGCCCAGAGGCCACAAGTACCGCAATGCCACGAGCTCAACCGGCAAGTGTGCCACTGGAAGTGGTGGATGGCGGTGCTGTACCACGGAGGACGAACTGCCGGAAGCGCCCCAGGGTTCGTGCGTCGACCGGGGATTCGGGAGGCTGCTGTGAGGAGGAGGTCTCGGTGGCGCAATGCTTTGTGATACATTTCTACCACATCATGATGCGGTGCGGTGTCTGCCGGCGGGATGGAGCGCCGAAGTCACCCGAGGCGGTTTTGGAAGAGCTGTGCATAGTAGCTGATCATTGGGCAGGCCTGCATGACCGGTGTCCAAGGGCTGGCGAGGCGCCCCGTTGTGTAACCGAGAAGTGGGGCAAGGAGAGTGCCATATACGCACCCCAGTCGGCGACCCATATAGCTGTCACGGAGTGGCTTGAGGAGCCCTGTGGGATTGAGCAGGTGAAACACTACATCCATGGGGGCTGCAGCTCAATAAACGAATCCTTCCACTCCCTAATTTGCAAGAACGCGCCAAAACGGCTCCGACTCCGTGGGAGCTTCAACGCACAAACAGGGCTGGCAGTATTCTTTGGAACAAATGCCAAGAGCACTTAGTGAGGGCGTACATGACTTGCAACGTTCGAGTGACGCGGATACGGCGTGGCAAAAATACCCACACAATTGGCCCAATGGATTGGTCATGGGTCGACCGGATCATTGCCAAACTCCTCACAACGCCCCCCCTAGGGGCACTTCCACCGCTGGTAGGCGTCCTATGCTCATACAAGCCCCGACCCTAGACCATGGCCCTGTCTCTTCCATGCAATCTCAAAGCATACGATGCACACCCCCCATTTTGTCACTCCCTTTCTTTGTTTCCGGATTCCCCTTTACCTGTCTCTCACCCCCATTCTCCGTTGGATCTCTCTCCATCCAACACTGGTACACAACGATACCCCCCCCTTCCCCCATCCACACTTTACCCTCAGCCCATTGAACTGCCGTCCCCCCACTTTCTCCTACCCCATGCTACTCTGCCGACTCATTCCATTGCACTTTAGATGCCACCCTCCCTGCTGTGAGGGATGGGCAGAGCAGGGGAGAGAGCGGGGGGCATCGCGGGCAGCCCAGAGGTGGGCAGAGCAAGGGAGAGAGGGGTGGGCAGAGAGAGGGAGAGAGGGATGGGTGCAGTGAGGGAGAGAGGGGTGCGCAGAGCGGTGGTGAGAAGGTCAAGCCCGGTTTGAAGCGTGGGATGATGGTCTGATGTGGAAGAAAGGCAGTGGTGGAGGGGGGGGGGGGGGGGGGGGGGGGAGGGAAGAAGGCGAGAAGGGGACAAGGCGAGATCTGCCCGGCGCCCCGTAATACCAGGGGCTGGCGGGCGGCAATGGTGGAGTGGGTCCACTAGATAGTGAGCCGGCGTAGGGTGCGGCTCTAGCGGGTGTATGCAGTGTGCAGGAGAATGGGGTTTAGGGAGATGAGCCATGCGCAGGTGAGAGAGGTGTGCAGTGCGTGGGTGAGGGGTGTATGCAGTACGGGAGATGTGAAAAATGTGCGAGGTGCGTGGGTCAGCGGGGTGTGGAGCGGGGTCAGCAGGGTGCGGCGTGTGTGCAAGATGCATAGGCATGGCGCATATGCACCCAGCCATGACTGATGGATATTGCGTGGAGCCAACACACCAAGCCCCTCCTTACTCCACCATTTCCCTCCCCCTCCAACCCTTCCCCACTGCAGGAAGTCTCCAGGCACACCTCGTTGCTACGTGTGGAGCCAAGGGCAATACTCGGGCATGAAGCAAAGGTTGAGGCTCCTATGGTGGGAGACTGGGCGGGATAGGTTTTGGGGGCGAGGGTAACACGCGTGCCATCGGGTGGTAGGGTCTATAATCTGGGCGGCGATTGCGGTGCTTGCGCGTGGTGCCG